CCTGCTTCTGGCAAGGGGCAGCCCATTTACACGCAATAGAAAGTAAAAAGTGTTCCTCTCTTTGAAAACTATGGGGGGGTGGGGGGATGTGTGAACAGAGGGACTAAGCGGAATGTTTTTGAGTTTCTCAGGAAGAGTCTCAGCTTTACAGACAAAGCCTTGCGTTCAGTATTATCTAAACAGATTTCCCATAAATGGGGTCGATACGGTAAGCAAGGTGTTAAGAGTTTATGAGTGCTGGTGTGTGTCTTTAAGACAGCAGAGGCTTCTGACTTGGTTTGGATAAGCTGAGGGAGGTCACAGCTGGTTAACAGCAGCTCATGGATCTTCCTCAGAGGCTGAGAAAAACACAACCAGTAATTAAAGTTATGTTTTCCATTAATAACAACAACAAAAACCCCCACCAACAATGCAGTTCCACATGTCTAATTTCATACAAAACTTTCCACATAAGAGGCGTATTCTGCCAAGGGCACCATCAAATCTCATTACAAAAGAGTTGCCTTTGGTATCTAACCCCCATCCTGGGGAAGGTCTGGGGCTTAAACACCATGTAAATATTGCCATAAGCGGAGCTCCTCTTATTTCTACACCAGTCCCCTGAAACATGTTACAAACTAGCACGGAAGATCTCACCAGAATCAAGTCAAGAGTTGGTAAACTTGGAGCTGGCAGTCAGCCTGGAGGAGGCTGGAGAAACAGACGGACCAATCAACAACTGCTGGACTCATGTCTGGAGCTTCCCTACAGTTAGGGCTTGTTTCTCAATTTGAACTTCATACCCCTGGGCATTTGCGGCCCTGCTGCCATTTTGGCATCTCAGCCAGCAAGAGGAGACTTCTAATTCCCGGCTTTGCAACTGGCCGGGTCTGAGTGAACTTTTGAGTGAGTCACTTAAAAAGTCATCTCCCCGCCAGCTTCTAGCATGCCGATGGGAGTGAGGTTCAAGCAGGGTGTTCCTTCTCAGGCTATTGTGAGCAGAGAATGAGATAAAGTAGGTCAAAGTGCTTTGGGGAGCTGAAAACATGACAAAGGCAAGGGGTAGGTAATAGGGGCCCGCTAGGGAAGCCCCTTCCTTCTCTGGTGGGGAAGGAAGGTATGAAAAATCCGTGCCTATTTTATCCGTAAGAAAGGACCGGAATCCACCTCTTTTGTATTAATGATGAGACAGAAGAGTTGTGGAACACTGAACACTGAACACTGTCGTCATCCTTGCTAGAAAATTAACACAAGACTTCACCATCGAGTAATGGGACTGGGTTTTAAATAAACGGAGCTAAATGGGTGTTGTCCTTGCCCTTGTAATGAGTAGTCACCTTGGCAGGCAAGACACTTATTTAAATTCTATTTCCTATCATTCAAGAGAATTTTTTGTCACTCCTCGTTTGGAATTGTTCCTAGAGCCTCTGGCACGTTCTTTGGCGTATGTCTGAGGGTGACACATTTTTGTCCTTTGTGGAGAGCACTGATTTTTCATAAACCATCCAATGTTATTTGGTAAATGAGCTAAGTAATAAGATTTTTTTAAATAGAAAGAAGAAAAGCTGTGGCTACAAGATAGGAAACCGGTCTTTCTTTCAGTTCCAAGAGAAGAGCTACCTACAGTTGATTTTAAGAATTGGCAGTATCACTGGAAATGACCTGTTCCTTCCTAAGGTGACACATTAGTGGAAATGACCACATTTTAGAGAAAGCCATTTGGAAGTGTATTTTTACAGTTTTAGTGACCCCATTCTCTGTCTTGCAAGATTGCCACACTTGGATTTTCCAGAAAGAAAAGAGCTCTGCAACTGATTACCTGTTCATTTGTTTTCCCAGAGCAACTTGAGGCATCTGAATCCCTCCTGTGCATGTGGATTAACTGGCTAGCAACTCTACAGATGTTTCCAATGAGGTAACATCTGGGTATACTGGAAATACTGCACCCGGCAGATTCAGCTCTAACCATTCTATACTCCCTTAAGAAGTGTGAATTTTCTTTTCTCAGTTATGAAACAATCTAGCTGAAAATTAAAGTATGATTGACACCCTTACATGTAACCTGCAGCAAACTATTTGCTTCTGGTGCAAATAATTCACCTTGTTAGTGTTACTGTAAAATAAACACCTCTGGACTTTGACTATGCCATTATAGGTTCTTCCAGGATGCCAGACATTTCTTTTCTGAAAAACAGAGTTTTCCCATCTCATTTTTTTATTGTGGTAATATTCCGTCCCATCACCTTTACCATGTGGCCATTTTAAGTGTATAAGTCGGGGCCTCCCCAGTGGTGCAGCGGTTGAGCACTGGGTTGCGAAGCTGCCCGCAGCCTCTGTAGCACCAGTTCGATCCCCGGCAGCCGGGTGAGGGCCCACATGGTACGCAGACCTCTCCCGCCGCCCGCTGCTCCCCTCAGCAGTGTACTTCATCAGTCTGCCTGTTCTGTTCCTCGCTCTGGCTCTAGTGAATTCTCTCACCCTCCCGTGCTTCTGACTGTACCCAGTGCATGTATAAATAAATAAATCTTTAAGAAAAATAAAAATAAAAAATAAAGTGTACAAGTCACAGTGCTCTGCAGCCATCACCACCCTCTGGTTCCTAAACACAGAAACCTTTTCTCATTAACTAGCAGCTCCCCATTGTTCCCTCTCTCTGAATCCTGGCAACTAACTAATCTGCTTTCTGCATTTGTCTATTCTGGATAGTTCACATAAGTAGAACCTTGTAACATGCAGTTTCTTCCCCTCAGTATAATGTTTTTAGGGTTCACCCATGTTGTAGCCTGTGTCTGTACTTAATTTCTTTTCATGGTTGAATGATTTCTTTGGGTGGATCGACGCTGCTTATCCATGCACCCACTGAGGGGCAGATGGTTCATTCTCCCCGTTTGCTATCCTGAATTGTGCCGACAGCAACATAACTGCACAGTTTTTTCTTTGAAAGCCGTTTTCAATTCTTTTTGAGTTTATACCTAGTATTGGAGTTGCTGGGTTTAACTTTCTGAGAAATGACCAACCCGCTAACTTTTATACTAACACTTTCAAGGGGTCTTGATCAGCACATAGGAGCAGCTCGACTGCTGAAGTCAAACCCCAGGATGGGTCTCAAGGAGTCTCTTTTTCAGAAACACAGATGAGAGCAGCGCGGCTCCACCTGAGCGGAGCTTGTTCCAAGGTGAGGCTACGGGCAGGACTCTGAACAGCTTTATCTGCAGCTCTACGTGTCCTAACATGAACTGGCCGGGCAAGAATACCTTCCTGCCTCCTCGCTTCACTGGCTCGCCACTAGGTTGTACATGCTTTTGGAAAAAAGAAAAAAGATCTTAACCACTCGACTTCTGGACTTGCCTCCTCCTGTCTTTGCAGCAGAGTTCAGATTAGCAACTGGAGTCCAGAGAGAAATGGTGCAAGCAAACTAAAGCCAAGTCCTGTCCTTTTACAGTTCAAGAAGGGGGCCTCCCTGACATGCCACTACTTGGGGCTCGAGATACGTCTTGCATCCAGGGTATCCATTTGCCTTCCGCCCCGCCCAGTGATTCTGACCCTATCAACCCACAGATACCACGGTTGAAACTACCCTGCTTTGTATGTTACATATTGTCCCTCTGTGGGCTTGGCCAGGACAACAGAAGATAACCCTACTACAGCCACTGTTTACTGTGGCCAATGTAGTGAGTCATGGGGCTCCTCCGTGATTAACCCAACCGGACAGTAAACTGATGAAGACTGATTTTTAAATTTAAACCAGCTTGGGAGGCTGGCAGAGAGCTGACCACTTTCTTCTCTCACACACAGGTAGTGTCTGAGCCACAGGAGTCCAAATCAAAGAACGCTTGTCCTGCCCCAAACTGAGACAGACCAAATGGTGTTTTTTGCCGCTTGAAACTAAATACTAAGAATGAAAAAGTGGCTTCCAGGAGGCTCCAGGCGCAGTCAACCTGGCAGATGGACTGTCACTCATCCCTTGTCTTCTGGCAGCTTTTTCAGGTGACCTGGCCTGAATCTGCTGGTAGGACAAAAAAAAAATAGTCCCGTGGCTGGTCATATCCTCTGTTCTCTGGCAGGAAACTTCAAATTTGCCTGCTCCGGTCCTCCTCTGTTTGCTTATCTGCTTCCTTGTAGGGAAGAGCCTGCATCACAGTGTCCGGCTGAGGGGGATTTTCACCATGACCTCACCCCCTGCAGCTCCCTCCCTCTGACTCCAGAGCCCCAGTGAGCTCCCCGGCAGCTGGGCTGGGAGTCTGCACCCAGACCCCCAAAACCCCTCCGAGCTCATCTCAGAGTCACACAAACTCCCATTCTCCGCAGGAAGACCCGGGGTGGGGAGCCGGATGGATGACGTTTGGTTATGATCCTGGGCTCCGCAGACCAGATCAGGGGACCCGCCTTAATACAACACCCCCAAAGCCCCGCAGGCCCGCGCGCAGCCTGCACACCCCCGAGCCCCCCCAACCCCCCACCCCCACCCCCGGCCTCGCAGTGAGGCGCGCGGCGGTGACAGCGGGCGGCGGGCCCCCGGCTCCGCGGAGCAAGCGCGGCCGGGGCAGACAGGCCAGGGTCAGGTCCGCTCTGCGGCGTCCAGGCCTCGGCACCGGCGCCCTCCAGCCGCGCAGCCCGCGCAGCCCGCGCAGCCCATTCAAAGGAAACAGAAACTCGGGCTCAGGCCTCGGGAGCCGCGCGGCCCCGCCGCGACCACGTGACCGCCCAGGCCCCGCCCCCGCGCGCGCCCGGCGCCGGCGCGTGAGCGCGCGCGCCTCGCCGACACCCCCCCCCCAGGCGCGGGCGGGAGGCGGAGCGGCCGCCGCGGCGTGCGCGCGCGCCCCCGGGAGGCGTCGAGCGCGCGCACGCCCCTGGGGCCGCCGCCCCTCTCGGGCCCGCCTCCCGCCCTCCCTCCCCGCTCGCGCCTGCGAGTCAGTTCGCTGGTTCCCTCCCTCCCGGGGCGCGCTCGGGCCGCCGCAGCGCTCCCCGCCCTCAGCCGCGGAGCCGGAGCCGCCCGCCGCCGGAGGAGGAGCAGGCCCGAGCGCAGCGGCCCGCCAGCGGCGGCGGCGCCAAGATGGCGGACTTCCTGCCGTCGCGCTCCGTGCTGTCCGTGTGCTTCCCGGGCTGCGTGCTGACGAGCGGCGAGGCCGAGCAGCAGCGCAAGTCCAAGGAGATCGACAAGTGCCTGTCGCGGGAGAAGACCTACGTGAAGCGGCTCGTCAAGATCCTGCTGCTCGGCGCGGGCGAGAGCGGCAAGTCCACCTTCCTCAAGCAGATGCGGATCATCCACGGCGAGGACTTCGACCAGCGCGCGCGCGACGAGTTCCGCCTCATCATCTACAGCAACGTGATCAAAGGTGCCGCGGGGGGCCCGGGGCGCGGGGGGCCGGGGGGCCGGGGCGCGGGCCGGGCACCGCCCTCGCTCGCGCGGCGCGGGCGGGGACGAGGCCCGCGGGGCGGCGGCGGGAAGGGGGCGCGGCGACCCCGGCCCCGGCCCGGCGCGCGCGCCCCTGGGTGCTGAGGCGGGGGGCGCCCCGCTCCCCCCGGCGCCGGGGTGCGGGGCACGGGCGCTCCCCCCGCCCTCCGCCGCGGGGCTCGCCCCCTCCGGGGAGGGAAGGGCGGCCAGCCCGGCCTGGGGGTGCGCGGTGCCCTCCCGGCCCCGGCCCCTCCCGGCGCGGGCGACCCACTCACATGGGGCCGGGTCGGCTCCCGGCTCGCGGCTGGCTCGGCCCCCCCGAGCACGGGGGTTCGGGAGCCGTCCTCTGAGGAAACGTCTCCCCGAGGCACTTTTCAAGGGCGGAGGGGGACATTTGAAGGGCTCCTGAGCCCTCTTGGGCAGACGTGCCAAGCTGAAGGGTGCCCGGTGCGCTGCGCTGGCGTCGGGGTGGACGAGACCCGCGCGCAGCCCGAAGCGGGGTTCGCCGGGTGTCGGGGTCGGGCAGGATGTTTGCCTCCTGGCCGCGCCGCGCTCCCGCGCTCCTGCTCTTCTGCCGCCGAGTGGCAGGGCTGGGGGGCGCTGCGACCCCTCGCTGCTGCGGTTCCCGGGACTTGGTGCGGTGAGAACAAGGAGCTTTGGCCCAAAATGTGATGCGGAACCTGAGCTGAGGCCGTGAGTCAGTGTTGACTCGGACTGTAGACTCTGTTTGGCCGTGTTTTGGGAGTTGATGTTAAACTTTGCTCCCAAGTGAAAAATGCGCAAGGTTCATCTTTCTGCGCTTTCAGAGAGTCACAGAAGAGAGTTTGTCATTTGAGTGAGAATTAGCACCCCCCCCCGCCCCGCCTTTTTAAGTATGGGACGTTTCCTGCATGAGAGGCATTTTGGCAAAATTGGGGTGCAGTGCCAGTGCTTTAGGTGCACCAGGAGGCTCCGCTTCATCTGGGTGGTAATTATCTGTGAGTTTGTGCTGATTTCAGGTCTTTTCCAAATTTTTTTTTTTTCCAAACTGGCGGTTTGGTTTAGGAAGTTCTTTAGCGACTGCTTGTTGTCACAGTCCCCCAGCAGACGCACACTGCCTCAGGGGGAATGAGGGGCCAGGAGCCCCGGGCCAGTGAGTTCACAGGTCGCTTCAGCCCTGAGCCCCCGCAGGTCTGCGCTGAAGCTGTGAAATGCAGTTGCATTTATTCAGTCTCAGTGCTGAATGGTCTTGTTCAAGGCTGCAGACGCCGCCTTGCCATCCTGCATTGAAAGTACCTTTGTGTCCCGATGCATCTGAGTTGAGGGCATTGTATCATGTCTGTGACAGTCACCGTGTTAACTGGTTATGAGCCAGGCGGACACTGGTTGTAAGTGCGGCCGACTTTGAGCATTGACTGTGAGGCCAACTGAGTCACCGGCCATGTAGCTGTTTTGAGTTGGCATGATTAGAGAATTTACAGCCAAACAGTTTTTCCATGATCCAAACGGATGACTTCCTAACCTTGACGTGACTGTAAAGATGGACCAAATGTGAGAGTTTAGAGGTTGGGTTTGAAGTAATCTCTGGGAGTTGAAGTCTCTGTTTTTTAAATCTTTTTGCAGTCGGTCTTCCTTTAGGGAAACCTGAGGTCATCCTGTGATTTACACAGGTTTAAAGTGTGGTAGGGCAAAGTTTTTGAGTTTTGAATGTGTTCCTAAAAGACTTGCTGTTGGGTTCAGCCGGGTGCTGAGGAGCAGGCAGCGCGGAGCAGTGCTGTCTGATTCTTAGTGTCGCACAAATCTGTGTCTTTTTCAGAGACACATAAAACCTTGGTTGCAATCTTTTCTTTAGAGCCTGGACCTCAGGCTGTGCACCCTCATTTCATGTTCCTTGGCTGGTTTTGATTCTCTTGTGACTACCTTCAACCTCAAGTTATTTTCTAAATTAGAACGTACTAAAACCCTTCAGAGAGAGCAATTGCACTTAAGCTGTGAACAACATTATACAAGGACTGGGTTTGAGAGAATCGAAGTACGCCATGCGGGACCCTCCTCCAGTGAGCAGCCGGGGATTGAAAGAGGCTGCGGGCAGCTTCGCAACCCAGCGCTCAACCGCTGTGCCACTGGGGAGGCCCTGTTAGTTGTTTTAAGCTCTGCAAAGTTAGGAGTGTTTGTTGTGATGTTGGACTCCATTTGAAGGCGGTGGGCCTGGAATATTTAAGAAGTTTGAGGAATTAATATTAGAATTGAATTTATGAGACTACCTGATGACGCCTGTTGTGCTTTTTTTTCCTCTTTAAACAAAGGTATGAGAGTGCTCGTAGATGCCCGAGAGAAGCTTCACATTCCTTGGGGAGACAACTCAAACCAGCTCAATGGAGACAAGTTGATGGCATTTGACACCCGGGCCCCCATGGCGGCCAAGGGGATGGTCGAAGCTCAAGTTTTCTCACAATATCTTCCTGCTATACGAGCGTTATGGGCAGACAGCGGCATCCAGAATGCCTATGACCGGCGTCGAGAATTTCAACTGGTAAGAGATTTGTTCTTTTCAAATGTGATTTTGTTTTTGTGACATGTATTAATATCTAGTGCCAGTACACTTTCTTCACTCACTTCCACAAAACAGTGTCTCTATTCAGAATTTTAGCTTTCAAGAATTGAAGTACTATACAGATGAACTTTAGTGGACTTTATTATAGGCAAGATAAAAATACCATAAGGCCTCACGGATACAATGAAGCTGTTAGTTTTAATTGGTCATTTTTCTTTTTGAAAGTAGGGTCGTATGATTTCCTTAGGTACTTTCTTCTAATTTTGTTTCCTTTTTGAAAACAAATTCCTTCCCATTACAGCAACAATATTCATCTTTTGAAAAACTTGACCTTTTACTCTTAGAATAAGAGTTTGGTAACTGAACCTAGTTGTTCAGAGGTGCAATGTAGCCTTTAGAGGTACTCGTGTTAAGATCCAGATTATTTTACTGTATGTCAAGACATTAACATCTTTAGTGACGTTGAAGTCATTGTACACTTTGTCTCTCTGCGTTTTGTGTGTTTTTTTTAAAGGCTCCTAAGCATGTTTTACAAAATGTTCCTTCTTAAGAAACAAAATATTCTCGCCTATGTTTTGTGCTTGCTTTCACATGGGAAGCACCTAGCATTTATATTTATTTTATATACTTCGACTTAAATAAAACTGTGTGGCTGTTACACAGCATTGAGGAGAGGGTGGGAAAGAAAGGATCCCATCTAGGTGACAGATAACAAAATAATTGGACTAGATTTTTGGTCAAGTGTTTTATAATTTAATGGTGAATGCTCTGATTGTATTCTGGGTTTCATTTGCCAAAGCCCAGGCAAGTCCCGGGAATGACAGCGATCTAGACTGTCTGCACAGCGGAGATCCCAAATGTTGTGCTACGATATCAAAATGAAGTGACAGTTAAGACTGCTTTTTGTTTAATGATGTCACCGGCATTTATGGGTGTGGCTACAAAATGCTGTGCGGCCAGCTGTCCTTGCTATTACAGTGTGTTCTCAGAAGCAGTCTTGGCTATTAAAGTTCCAGAAAAGTGATCATGACAGCTTTCATAAAACTGAGACTTGCATCTTCACTTTCCCTGAATTATGACACTGTGTGTCTCACACCGCCCAGCGCCTGACCACGTGCTCCCTGACTTACGTCTCCTTTCCTGCGTGCCTTCTTGAGTAATGACAGCAGCGCCTGCCTCACCTCATTGCTGAGCTGGAGTAGTTGACAGCATTATGCTGAAAATTACTAATTTAAGTTGGCCAGTGACCGCTGTCCACTTCTTAGATTTATGGTTCATTGTCCTCTAGTCGGTATTTGGTATTTTATGTTCAGCAGTCTTGCTTGTGTAATTTCCTCCACTCACCCCTTCTCATTTCCCTTCATCCTCCCTCCTGGTTTTAAGTGCTGCTTATTCATCTGAATTTGTTTTCTCAGTAAACCAGACGTCCAGTGTACGTTGTCTCGGGCTCTTCTCATTCATTCTTCCAGATCAGGGGAGAAACATCGATGTGTAAGAGCGTCCGCGCGTGCTGATGGCGTAAATAAACAAATGACAACAGGCTAGTGTCTCTGTGGGAGCGTGTTGTAATGGAAGTTGGGCTTCACTGACAGGACTTGAATTCACATGTTCCCATCTTGTGGTCTCTGTTGACACGGTCGGGGCATCCTTGTTGAGAAAGCACTCCTGCGTGTTCTCACTCCTAGCAGGCAGGGATGCGCTTCCCCTGTGATGTCCTCAGCATTAATGGTCCCTGGCACATGTTGTCTGTACTAGTTATTATGTGGAATTAATGGCTCTGATACTGTGGATGCTGGGTGGTGCTTGCCATAGTTGTTGGACACTAAGAAGGCATTTGGCTTATTTAAAATTTCCCTCGGGTCTTCGCTTCTTGTCTTGTGTGCACACCGCAAACGCCCAGGTGCTAGCTTTTCTACCCCTGTACAGTCCCTTTCCCTTCACCCATTCCTCCTTTCTCCTTTCCACTGTGTCCTGCTGCCTCTTGCTTGTGCTCCCAGGTGGGCGTGTTCAACTATAGCATGGGTTTGCTCAGAAAGCTTTGGTCATTCTTTTTGCCTCCAGAATAGAGCTGGACCTCAGCGTGTGTGCGAATTCAGACTCTGGCCAGTTCGCCTCTGATTCCAGCAATATACAGTTGGTCCTTGAACAGTTTGGGGCCTGAGGGCACTAACCCCCGTGCAGTTGAAAATCTTAGTATAGCTTGATTCCCCAAAAACCTAACTACTGATAGCCTGATGTTGACCGGGAGGCTTTACCCATCGCATTAGTGATTGGTTAACACGTATTTTTGTATCTGCTATTCATTAAATAGACATGGACCTTCATAAAGTCTTTACCTTGTCTTCTTCACTCTTTGTGGGCCAAGGTGGAAGAGAAAGAGGAGGGGTTGGTCTTGCTGTCTTAGGAATGGCAGAGGTGGGAGGGAGACAGGAGAGGCAGGCGCCCTGAATGTAACTTACTTATTACTTATGTAATAAATTTTATCTGAAGTTCTTGCTTTTTTGTTTCTCTGCAAATGTTTCTTCTATATGGTATCAATCCTCCTCCTGGCGTTTGCTTTTGTTTTCGTTTTCAGCCTCCATATTGTAGAAATAAAAGCAGTCTTGCGTAATCAGGGCCCTTCTGCCAGATTGTCTAGTGTCACTGGGTTTCTGGCACAACTTTTCTAATATGGCTTCTTCTCTGCCTTCTCCGTTTGGCTCTGGTGCACAGGCTCTCATGACCATTAAGTGTTTTAAATCCTCTGATTTGGCGTCTACCTGCTTAGAAGTGGACCTCACAGTTCACGCCTGTGGTGTGCAACTGTACTTCATTAGACCACTGCGCAGACAGCGCCTGTGGCGCCTCTTAATCCCGAGTCCCCTGAGTGTCTGCCGCTGGCCCTGTCTTTGGATGGATCCTGCTGTTACTTCATCTACCCCTTAGATCTCACCTTTCACTCGGTACAGTGGTGACCAATTTTTTTTTTTTTAAACAAATTTTTAAAAAAGATTTATTTATTTATTTATACAAGCACTGGGTACAGTCAGAAGCGCGGGAGGGTGAGAGAATTCACCAGAGCCAGAGCGGAGAGCAGAACAGGCAGACTGTCGACGTACACTGCTGAGGGGAGCAGCGGGCAGCAGGAGAGGTCTGCGCGCCATGTGGGACCCTCATCCAGTGGCCGGGGTCCAACCAGCGCTGTAGGGGCTGCGGGGCTGCGGGCAGCTTCGCAACCCAGCGCTCAACCACTGCGCCACCGGGGAGGCCCCAGTGGTGACCAATTTTAATGCAACTAAATGTGATCCGACAACCCCTTGGTCAGATGCCTATGAAATACTTGTTTAATACAAAACAAAATACAGATTCCTAGACTTTATCACAGGAGCATTTCTGATTTAGAAATCTGAGGTGGGGCCCAGTGTTCTGTATTTCCAGCAGACAGCCATGGGTGATTGGCAGGCATTTTGCTCTGTGCCAAGTGAGGAGGACCAGGCTTCAGTGCCACAGCTTCCCCAGAGCTCCCTGGCTCCCCCTCCCCAGCTGGGATGTGCCTGTGCCCCAAGTCCTCATTGCTGCTTTCTAACCCACTGTCCTTGCCTGTGTTGCACCAATTTGCCTTTGTGTTTGGTTCTCTCACCAGCATAGGACCTGGCACTTACTTTTAGTTCCTTGTTTTTTAGACATTCTGAACTATAAGGTTCTTTTCGGGGAAAAAAAAGTCTCACATTAAGTTCCTTCTGGGAAATATGAGTTATTTCTGTACGCTAGTTTGTTACTTTTCTAGGAGAGGGGAACTCATATTACAGAACCATAATTTTTCTTTTTTGTTATGTTTAACAATCCAGCCAATTCTATAGCTTCCCTACTTTATGTAAGGGGCAGAATCTCCCGGGTCATAAAATACTCACCCCCCCAGCCCATTCCATTTGAATGCACTCCACTCCCTCCTTTAAAACACACAGAGCTGCCATAACTTCTATTTCTAATGAATATTTCTGAATCTTGGCTAGAAAAGGTAAACATCAGGGTAATGGGAGGAGTTGATAGATAAAATAACTAAAATTAGCTCTGTTTCAGCCAAAAATTATTAATGTGATTTGAAATGCAAAAAATAGGGGAGGTAGTTTTTAAACTAATAATGGCTTTTTTGGCTTAAGATGAATGACTGGACTCTGGATAGTGGGTTTTTAGTAGGCCATTCTTTTGTTAGTAAACTTTGGGTAATAAACATCACTGTTTTCTTTCCCGAGTTCCCAAAGGCAAACATTTCCTTTTCTGGTTGGTTTCATTATGGCTAAGCGAGGTAATTCACTATGGAAGAACAAAAATTTCATGTAGATAGAGGCTTAAGGTACCTCTGCAGTTGTTACAAATTAACACCTGGGGTGATAGCCCTAAGAAGCTAGGGCTCTTAGTAGTGCATTAAGTGTAGTGCTCTCCCTGGCTGCCTGGTCTGCAGTCTGCCCCTGCAAGAGACTGTCTTCATGAAAACTTCTTATGGGACTATAGTTAGTGGATTTGGTAACGTAGAAGACGATGGGAGTCAGTCACTTATTCAGAAGTTTGAGCGAAATTTATAGGACGGGTTGTAGAGGATGGGCACATTTGTGCACTGGGAGGAACGCTCCGGAACTTCCTAGTTTCTCTACACACTTTAACATTGTCAGCATTATTAACATAACTTCCTGTAATGATGGCCTTTCTTTGCAATTCCTGAAACCAAAACTATTTTCTTGGTTATCTTAGTACCTTTAGTTAGACTCAGACTTAAATTTTCTCACTCAAGTACTACAGTTTGTGCCTGATGATAGTTACACTTCTCCAAACTGATGAGGTAGTTTATTCATTGAGACAGAACTTTCCCTAGTCTGTGTAACAAAGTAACTATTTTGCTTCTTGCATTGACCTGTGAAAGAACTGACTGCTAAGTAAAACAGAACTTCAGTTTGTACTAGACTGTTTCTTTATTTGCTTTGCAGTATGAATGTGAAATACTG